ATTGATACTCTGGGCACAGACCACCAGCATCGAACATGGGTACGCGATCGATGGGTCATGTTCATACCGGAGGTGATCCAGGACTTCTATGGGCTCACATGGGACAACATCACTCCCATTCGTGGTCATTTTCCTTAGGAAACAGTCGCTGCTGTTCTTTTGGGATGCGAAAATACTTGGCCGTTACCGACTCCAGTGTGGCATCAGATTGAGCTCACTCCCTCGATCAACATTCTTTAGCTCTTTATGTACCATAATGTGGAGCCCACCACTTACCATACTACCTTCACCAATCCTACAACTGGCTTGATCTATCATTTGTTGCAGGGGCACAAAATTGACTTGGCTATATTCATCTATGATCAGATTCATTCTCAAGGGGTCTCTACGGATCGACATCGGTCCCTGATATTTCCAAGCCTTATTAGTGGTATTTGTAAACAGGCTGGTGTCACATTCCCATCAGGGGAGCTTCCAGAGAACGCTAATCCATTCATTAAGTTGACCACCTTGGAATCCCAGGATCGTGCTTGGGTGAAACATAAGGCAGCCCAGGTGCAGGCATAGTTGAGACAGCAGCAGGCTACCCATGATCAGGAGGCCGATGAAGCGGTTATGCAGGCGACACCACCACCACATGCACCATTGGAGATCGACACGCAGATGCTCCGTCAGATGTTTGTGATAATGACTGCATCAGGCAAAGACATTGAGAGACTTGGACAGACCATGGATACTATGTGTACCACTCTGCAGACCATTCGGGATGACTTGATTACCACCAGGACCCTCGCCTCAATTGCCAGTCGGGAATATTTTGCTACTAGACATGAGGTCGTGGTCATAAATGGGAGACTGAACAACTATGTGGGCAGAGTTGATGGAATTCAGTTGTGTGCCAATGACTCCTGGGATCATTTGGGCACTATTGAGGCTGCCCAACAATCGGAGCTCATGAGCCAGATGCTTGCCCGTCTACCTCCACCAGTTGCTGCTGCTCTACACCAGACTTCCACCCTCCATCGCAGCACTGATCAGAGGAGCTCTCTAAATCCTTTTCCGCTGCTTTGATCTGCATTTCTGTTTTGTTTTTCATTTTCGAGTTCAGTTCTTTGTTATTTCTATTCATCTCACATTGAGGACACTGTGTCATTTAAGTTTGGGGTGACGTTCATTATGTTATGCAGTTTTGTTTTACTGTGTCTGATGTTTGTTTTGCAAAAAAAAAATGTTTTTCATTTGTTTTCAATTTTATGCATTTATGTGTGCTTGTGTGGGTTTGACAATTATGCCAACCGTGATTATTAATATTGGATTTGGTATGGACCGTGAGTGATGAAAACTGTGCTTCATTGGATTGATCAAAATATGTTGATGTGAAACTCGATTTACTTTGCGCACGATACTCATGTTGCTGTATTCAGTTGACGATGTGACTCGTGATTTAGAAACAGGTGTACATATTGATTATACCCAGAAAACCTCTTATGTGTTACACCATAACCAATGTTTAGAATGGCTTGGATGTTATTAAACTGTTACAAGAGAGCACTAGGATGAGTATGGGTTCCGTGCATGATAAGTTGTGTGGATTGTCGGAAACCAATGAGATGAAAACAAGCTGAAGGTTTCAAGTTAGGGATTAGTTTTAGAAACTAGATGGCTAAAAAGAGCAGAGACATTGCACTAATTATTGAATAAATAAAGACATATGTTCGAGCCCATATAACTCGAGTGATTAAGCCTGTAAGGGTTCAAAACCTGGTGCCCTATGGTCA